GGGGGAGAGCTGGGCACCTCTCGCCGGGCGGTGCCTGTGGCCTGGCCCAGCTTGGCTCTGCGAGGCCTGCCGGCTCCGCGGGAGAGAGAGGGGGGGATAAAAGAGGGCCAGGACCGAGCCTCAGCCTTTCCTGTCGCGCCCTGGCTGTCCTTCTTGGGCACTGAGTAGGCCTCGGGTGTGGGAGGGTGCGGGCCGTAGCTGCTTGAGAGCACTTGCGTGGCTGAGAACGAGCATGAAGACGAGCAGCAGCAGGCAAGGCTGTTTCTCTGTGCTTGGACACATCCCTTCACCGACCCTGGCTCCTCTGGGGTTGTGTAACGAGCAGGGTGAGGAAATGCTGTTAAGGAAGTCTTCAGTTAATGTACTGTGCTTCCGGGTGCTGACCAGTGTTTCCTGTTCTGGAGAACAAATGCTGCTATAACCTGTTCTGATTTTTCCACGTTACCAAACATGAGGTATTTATGCTTTAATGCTATGCATATATAATCGTCTTTTCCCATGTTCTTTGCCAGTATCTCTGCACCTTTCTTGTATTGTGAAAAATTAGCACTAGTTTTAATATGCTGCTCTCATGCATGATGGTTGCTTTATTTAGAAATAAACCAGGATAGCTGTATAACTTTCTTTTTTAAAAAGAAAATAAAGTTAGCGTTCTGACATCCACAGAACCTGAGGAGTGTTCTTTCAAACTAGGTTTGGGTTGCAAAACTTGTCAAGTATTGTGGTGGTGAACAGCTGCTGTTCAGAGGATGAGTGCTGCATTTCAGCTGTTGTGTCTGCTACGGTGACCTTGAGTTCCAGTGTGGTTTTGAAAATGGGTTCAAAACAAGTGTGTCTTTATCCAGCCTAGCCGAACACATAATGGAATGATAATTTTTTGTATGACTAAGTTGTGTTGTAGTTTAATAACAAAACTCTGCTAGAATTGAAGTGATAGAGCATAATACATTTAAAGTTGTAAGCTGATTCTAATTTGTAATTGCAACAGGTTTTGGGGGAGGGGGGTACAGTCTTGAGTCTCTGACATGTGAAACATAATCACTCACTAGTAAGTTATTTATATGGTTACAAAATTACCTGTAAATGCTTATTTTAGAGTACCGGGTATTTTTATCTTGTAATTAGTATTCCAGGGAATATTTATCTGGGGTTTTTTTAAAGTTTCTTTTCCCACCATCAAGTGCACTGTCTCAGTTTCTGTCAAAGTATTTGAAGTGCTGCATGTGCACACACCCTCCCCACTTAACTTTGCAGACCCTATATGTTTCAGGAAAAAGGCATAAGCCTATGGTGTTTACAAATGAAATTCAACAAAACAAAGATCTAAGCAATGTGATATCTTTAATAGAGGAATGGCAGTTGCAGAAAATAGGATGGGACTTAAGGAACCTGTATCTTAGAGGTTGGCCCTGAAAGCAGGACAGCAATTTTATTAGGATAGATTTCAGCACAGTGATTATGGGAAGGTGCAATAATTTCTGCACACAAAAAAATTGATATTAATGTCTGTTAAAAACTAAGATCAGTTTTGTCTTCTGCACTTTGCACTCTATATCCAAATTATACACATGAAAATGAATGCTTATTACTCCAAGATAAAACTGTACAAATACAGAAAGGTCCTTTTAGTGAAGTTAGGATTTAAGCCTGTAATACAACTTATTTTCAAAGGTATTTTAGTATCTCCTTGTTTCTAAATCAGGTTTATATAATTCTGGTGGAGAAACTTGTGTTTCTTGAGTGGGTTCTACTGTTACAGTTTTACCATATGACCAGCAGCAGGCATGTGGTCTTGAAGGGACAGGATCTGGTGGTTAATCTTGAGTTTGTTGTTGCGGAAAGGATACGAGCTGAAGGTTTCTTGATTCTATGGAACCCTGGCTCTACAGCTAGTCTAGCTTTAATAACTCATTGCTCAATTGTGTGATGAAGGCCTAGGAAGATGCTGTAATCTGGGGTGAAGGGAACTCTTGAGGTTCCTGCTGTAAGGGAGATCATGGGAGATCTGTGCACGTGATTTGTATGACACTTTCATACCTAGTTCCTGTGTATAAACTTAATGTGGGGAATGAACTTTACTGCCTCTCCAGCTCCTAATCACTTTCTCAGCAAGAAACAAATTGATCATAACTTGAAATGGGTGACTAACCAGAAATGAAGGAAATAAATTCTGTAGATGTATACTTTTAAATCTTTCCAAAGTCCTAATGGTCTGCTTTCCTTTAGCCATGTGTGGAGAGCAGCTTGCCAGCAGCCACACCTGGCAGGGAAGAAAAATTAAAAAAGAGCAAGAGTGTGTGTTGTACAAAATATTTGTTACTGGGAAATAGGGATCTAAACCATCCTGATGGTTACAGAGTCCTTGTGTGATTTGGTCAGGCTGTTGGCAATATTTACACTGTTTTCAAAAGTAACACTTTTACATTAAATTTAATTTCCTTTGAGGAAATAAAGTAGTATGTGTGTGAGGTTGTTGTGTTGTTTTTTTTTTCCTGTCGAACTGATGCAAGGGTTGTATTTTGTAGCTTGCACATTGAAATAATACGTGGTGTTCTAGGTGAGTGGGGAGGGCAGGAAGTTTGCCAGAATGAAATGGTTGAGTTGTTTTTCAGAGTAAAGCATTAACATGATTTTGTTGTCTTGGTATTTTTTTTTCTCTTCTGATGTTAGCAAGAAGGCTCATTGTGTGCTCAGCACTGTCTGAATAATTTGCTACAAGGGGAATATTTTAGTCCTGTTGAGTTATCTTCTATTGCACAGCAGTTGGATGAGGAGGAAAGAATGAGAATGGCAGAGGGAGGAGTGTCTAGTGAAGAATATAGAACATTTTTACAGGTAAAATCATCTTAATTTGAGGTTACTTGCTATTTGCCTGAAATCTAATATTATGTAGCCCAGACTTGCTATTCTTGCATAGCTAGAGAAAGTTAATTTCCTTGTGCTAAAACTTCTTTAATTTATAGGTCTTTTCATTCCCGCATTTTAAATTTGGCATTTCCAAACGTCACTAGCACAGCTTTACAGTAATTCTACAAAAAGCTACATTATGTTACAGGAAATAAGCTCAGGCATGGTGAGGAGGAGGATCTTCACTTTGCCTTTTCTTTTTATAAGGCATTGGTAGAGATAGGAACAGAAGTTCTCATGCTTGTTTGTCCTTTAAGCACCGAGCATTTCTAATTTAAAAGCTTGAGGTTTTAATTAATAAGCTTATTTGGGCATTGTAATCAGCCTTACAGACTAGGGCATACTGAGTTGTTGCTTTTAGTATGTGCAGTTACATTTCTTTTCAAAACTGAATCATTTCTGACTTACACCATTTTTCCCTTGTCTCCCTCCAAACCTCACATTGAGCAGCAGCCTTCTGTAAATATGGATGACAGTGGATTCTTCTCAATTCAAGTAAGTATGTGTCTATACTGACAACTTTTTTTTATGCAACATGTGTTCTCTCATATAATTTAAATGACATCAAGCTTTTTCATGTAGTTTCCAGTTTATAGGCTTAATGGGATCAAGTGCTGGACTTCTGAATTTTCAGAGTGTTTTCTATTAAGAGCAGTGACTTCCAGTTCTTTGGTTCTTGGGTCCTTAAACACATAGAAGCATTGACTCTCCAGAACAGACACCCGCTGGCAATAAGCTTGACTTCTAAGCTGCTTCTTATGGACACTTCAGGTGTAGACCTTGGCTCCCATAGACTGTGGGTGAAAAAGCAGACTTGAGGTTGTTTTCTCAAATTGCAGACTGTAGAGCCCTTGGCAATGGTAAGAGTTACTGCAGTGATCCGCAGAATAGAGAACGCTGTAATATTTGCACTTTTTTTTTTTAACACACTCCGAACACTTTAGAGCTCTTGTTGTTTGTTGTTTTGGGTTTTTTTTTAAGGACCATAATGGAAAACTAATGAATAATAAACACTTAAACCAGAACGGAAAAGCACCGAACACTGAATTGGGGCTTGTGTCCAGACTAGAGCTGAAGGCAGTGCTTTACACCTTTGGCTGTCTCCCAGGCTTTCAGAGGTGCTTGTCAATATTCCAGAATCCCTCAAGACCTTCTCTTCCTTATAGTGGGGCAGGGCTGTTTTTCTGTTCAGTGAAAAACCATTAACAGTTTGGCATTTCTTGTATTCTTGATTGTGCTGCTTCAGTATTGAAGCTGGGAAAAAAAACAGCAAAAATTCCTCTTATTCTGCTTTATTATTGCTGTGCTCGCTTGCTCCGTAGTTGGCTCACTGAAAGGAATGTGACTTGTTAATTTGAAATTTCTTACAGCATTATTTCAGATAGCTTTAAAGAGTTACTGTAAAAGAGTTAGTGCTAACGTACCTGACTGATCTTGTGACAATCCAGTGGTGCAAGACTTTCTAGTAGTTACTATGGGGAAGGGTGACCCTGTGTTGGCGAGAGGGAGGGCAGAGCAGTCCATTGAGAGCAGAGAGACAATAATTTATGAAGCCTCTGTGAGAGATGATGTTACAGTTTTGTGGGGGTGAATAAGCTTAACATGTCTCAGTTAAATTTTAATTTTGTTACTTCCCTTTAGATATGATGTGTGTGTTATGTTTGCATGTAAATTAGACACTTGCATTTTTTAATAATGTGATTCCTAGGTTTCCTACAGATGTTTTAAAATCTAAGTTCTGTGAAAACAATATAATTGTTTATAGCAGCTAAGATGGTTGCATTGCTTAAATTTAGGTTTGACTCATGAAAGGTACTGTTTTTTGACAGGTTATAAGCAATGCCTTGAAAGTTTGGGGTTTAGAACTAATCCTCTTCAACAGCCCAGAATATCAGAGGCTTGGGATCGACCCTATGTAAGACATTTTTTTCAAAGCACGCTGCGGTCTTTTTACAGAAGAATAATACTCTTTATTCATGACTTAAAGTTTTCTTTAGAGTTACAACTTGAAGCCCTTTTGCATTGTTTTTATTATCCTGTCCTTAATTTTTTCCTTTTGGAGATGTATATGAGCATCTGTCCTCTGTGCCTTCATGATATCTCAGTATCTGTGGCATCACAGGTATATGGAGATTTCAGTAATGTTGTAAACTTCTTAAATGTTATAAAAGTATGAGTAATTTGTAACATCAAAAGTTGTATTACTGAAATTTTATTATCTAAGTTTAAACTGGTGGTAGCAAAAAGCTTAAACATAAATATGCACTCCAATGTTAGAGTATTTAATTTTATCTATACCTTTTTTGTTTGTTTTTTTTTTTTACAGAAATGAAAAATCATTTATTTGTAATTATAAGGAACACTGGTTTACAGTTCGAAAGTTAGGAAAACAGGTGACATTGTCTTTCTTTTATTTAAAAACTGACTTCAGAATGGGGGTGGAAAAGTGGTTGCCAGTAGACCATGTGTCATCTGCCTGCAAGCTTTTGCTGCAGTTTGTTTTAATAGTATCCCATATCAAAAATAAATAAATAAATGAGTAAACGTTTGTTGTCACAAAAATGCTGGGTGGCTTTTTATGAATGTTAGCCTGGGGAAAGACCCTAGCACCAATTTCCCAATGAACCTGTCCTCTAGGGAGCTGCAGTTCTGGTAGAGTCTGTGTAATGTCTTAAGCTCTTTGCTTTCTCTTTTGCCTGAAAAATAGCAGAAAAATTGTATGGGGAGGGAAAAGTCCTAGACAAAGATTAGGATCCCTCTAGAATGCAAACTTATTTTAATAAGCTAAATTACTGCCATTGTAAAAGAATTTTGCTTGTTTAAATGGTCAGTAGGTACATTTCAAGTGTATTAATATTTATGATTGCTAGTATTTAAGAGTATCCATCAGGGTAAGGTTGGGGAAGGTGCAATCACAACTTTGCATTTTTAGAACACTTTCTGATACAGTTGTATTATAAGCAGGAAATAGTTATTAAAGGTAAGGGATGGCCATAGAAGTGTGTGGTCTATATATGACAGCTCAAGTCACATCCATTTCCCTTGTAACACCAACAGAGTGTTGTATTTCAGTAGTCAATCGTTGTTCTGGATGATACTGCGTTAACTTTTATACCACATGTGCTGGTTTGATGTTTGGGTTTTTTCAGGTTGTTTCTTTTTTGGAGGATCATAGAAAATGTTTGTTTAAAAAGTTTTTAGATTCTGCAGCAGTGAAAGGGAGTCTCTTTACCCGTTTGGTTCATTTTGCAGGCGGTGGCGACCTGTGTTGTCATCCAGATGAGAAATAAACCATTAAAATTTAAAAAAAAAAAATCCCTATGAGTAAACAAACTAAACTCTACTCTTCTGCTTTAGTTTAAAAGTATGGCTAACTTTTACAGGCAGTTTTTGTATATTTGATATTGAAAAGGCTGAATGGTCTCTTAGAAGTATGAGAATGTCCCTAATTACGTATACAACCACGTTAAGTGGAATTTTGTGAGATAGAACGTTTTGAGTCAGAATACTAAGTTGGAGCAGGAGGTGTCTCTTGCTTTTACACATGGCTTGTAAGCACATGAAGACAATACTGAGTCTGTTATGAACAGTAATGAGAAAAGACAAATTTGACGTCTTTCTCTACTGTTACAGTTAAAACAAAATTAGTTTACCAAACCTTTATTTTCCCTACTCCCTTTTAAAAGTTTGTCTGTAATCTGTCCATTGTATTTGTTTACATAACCTTTTATTCCCCACTCCTACACTGTTGGTCGTACCCTTTCCCAGCGGCAAAGGGTGTTTTTGACAGATTACGTGACTGAATGACAGAATGGCAGATGGTCACTTACCTACTGTATTCCAAGTGAATTATAGTACAGGCCTGACTGCAAGTGTGTGACTGCATGGACAGAAGTTTGGGTAGAAAAATGCATTTTTGTGAGAATGGAGGTAGAATTTTCCTTCTGCTATCCGAAATGGTGCTTGCTGGTTAAAATTGCAATTGATACTGAATGAGTATGCTATACAGAGGTTCTTCGCATTAATTGCAATAAATATAAAGTTTTAAAGGGGGAATATTTTGTCATCGATGTTGAATATATTTTCTCTCTAGAAGAATTATTACAGATGACTAATTGTCTTCTTCAGGGAACTAGGAATGATCTGTGTACATTTATCTCAAGTGTCCTCTGTTGTAATACTATGCTGTGCTATCAGCATATTAAATTTGAGTTATTTTTTCTTAATTTTTCAATTTAAAAATTAGATGGAAGTAAAAAAATAGTTTCAGCATCCCCAGCTATTACAGGGAAAATGTTTAATTCAAGTATTTAATGGAAAGAATTCAACTTCTGTTTCCTAGTATCTGCTAATTTCTTAAGATACATCATTACTTTATGAAGGGTTTCTTCCTTCCTTAGTCTCTGAACAGATTTAAAACTAGGATTAAGTACAATTTTAGAATGATAAATAACTCTTTAATTTATATGTTTTAATCTGTTTGCCTGGTACCAGTGTTCAGTAATGGGAGAGAGCATGCGGTATTTTCCCTACTCCTATTAGCTGAAGATTGTTTGAAGGGTAGCCTTTACCAGTATAGGTATTGTACTTTGAGAGACTTTTAATTTGATAATTTATTTTACTAGATTTATTCGGATATTCCATCATAGAAAATAATCACAATGTACAGAAATGGATTAGCAAGTAATTTTTATGCTAATTTTTTCTCTCAAACCTTTTTTTCTTAATTACAGTGGTTTAACTTGAACTCTCTCTTGATGGGTCCAGAACTAATATCAGATACATATCTTGCACTTTTCTTGGCTCAATTACAACAGGAAGGTAATAGTAACTTGCAGATGTTAAATCTCATTAATTAAAAGTAGGTAATAATCATTATTTATTAGAACTTATGTATTTAGTTAACTACCCTTAGTTTTATGATTGATATAGTGAAATAACCCAAGTCCTTATAATGCAAGGTAGAGCCTTACAATGTAATGTCTTGCACATTGTTGTGTTCTGTATAGCGTGCATTTAGAGTATTTATGCATGCACCTTAATGCTGTAGACTTACAATTTATTTTTCTCAGGTTATTCCATATTTGTAGTAAAAGGCGACCTGCCAGACTGTGAGGCTGATCAGCTATTGCAGATGATTCGGGTGCAGCAGATGCAGCGACCAAAACTAATTGGAGAAGAGGCAGCACAGTCAAGAGATCAGAGGTAAGGTAAATAAGAGTTCTCATTTATGTTCAGTATGATTAGTTTCCATGATTAATGACTACATGGAAATGAGACCTTTACAGAATCACAGAATGTTTGGGGTTGGAAGGGACCTCTGAAGATCATCTAGTCCAACCTTCATCCCAGCATACCTAACCACTACACCATAGCCTCAAGTGCTAGATCTACTTTTTGTTTAAACACCTCCAGGGTTGGTGACTCCACCACCTCCCTGGGCAGCCTGTTCCAGTGCCTCACCACTCGCTCAGTAAAGAACTTCCCCCGAATATCCAATCTAAACTTACCCTGACGCAACTTGAGGCCATTTCCCCTTGTCCTGTCATTAGTAATTAGAGAGAAGAGACCAGCACCATCCTCACTACAGCCTCCTTTTAGGTAGTTGTAGAGGGCAATAAGGTCTCCTCTCAGCCTCCTCTTCTCCAGACTAAACAAACCCAGTTCCCTCAGCCGCTCTTCATAGGACATGTTTTCCAAACCTCTCACAAGCCTTGTTGCCCTTCTCTGCACCCGCTCCAGCACCTCAATGTCTTTCTTATACTGTGGTGACCAAAACTGGACACAGTACTCGAGGTGAGGTCTCACGAGTGCTGAGTACAGGGGCATGATCACCTCCCTCCTCCTGCTGGTCACACCGAAGGTTTACGAAGTAGTTAGAAGAACCTTAAGTGCAATGCACTTACTACTGTTGGACACCATAAAAGCAAGTTGGTAAAATACAAATAGTGGTTTATTTAAGAGAGTGAAAACTAACTTAATAATGATTTAATCATTCCATGTGCAGAAGTGTTGTACGGTGCAGATTTTTGACTTTGTGATTATCCTATTTTTCCAATTACAGTAAAATGGGTTAGCAAATCTCACCCAACTGTGGTTAATAGTAATCAATCTATAATTAAGACTGGCTTGCGTGTTCTGTCTTGAGTAGAAAAGAATGAGACACTCACATCTGAATTCCACATCATATAAATCATATGGTATTCCCTTTTGGAATAATTTCACTGTAAATGTTGTGATGCTGCTCTGTCATGATAACTACTGCTAATAGAGAGCATCCTTGAAAACATTTCAAGTATTAATACTGCAATAATTTTATAATATTTTCATAGTGAATAAATTGCATACTGATGAAAAGGCTTAATGCTTTTCAGATGAATTAATTTGTTATTATTCCACTTTGTAAAGCTAAACTGGTGTTGTGAATTGGTAGAATAAAACCAAACTACTTGGCAGGAACAGGATCTGTTGCTCTAGTGTGACCATCAAAGCTTTCTAAGAAGGAGATAACATGCACTATTTTATGCTGGTGAAACTATGTAAATAGCAGTACGTTTGAATAACATGTATTACTGCTTTTTGTAGGCTTACCTTTTTGAAGTTTTTCCTATCAGACAGATTATTGTCAGCATGTGGAGTATTTTCATTGTTACAGCTGCAAACTCTGTAACCTTTTTGATCATAGATTTGATCATAGAATGGCCTAAGCTGGAAGGGGCCTTAGAGATCGTTTTAATCCAGCCTCCCTGCCACCAGGGATGCCACCTCTCGACTAGATCAGGCAACACATGGGGACTTGTGCTTTTTCATGTAGAAGTGAAAATATTTGTTTATATAACAGATTTGCACAATGGAAATATTTTAAAATTTAAATAAACCAAACCACCTAGAGTTAAATCAGGAGAAAATACTCACTTTAAATATCACAGTATGAGTTAATGTAATTTCTGTCTGAATTCTGCCACAAATATATCCATTTCACAGGATACCCAGAAGTGATGTGGACCAAGCAATAGAAGTTAACCATCCTTTTGAGGGAACGGGCATGTTAGATGAAGATGAAGAGAATTTTCAGAGAGCCCTGGCTCTAAGTAGGCAGGAAATTGATATGGAAGATGAAGAAGCTGATCTTCGCAGAGCCATTCAACTCAGCATGCAAGGTGCAATGCTCATCTAAATTTCTCCTACAGTGTTCGTGTTGCTTATCTTTTAGGTGGCTACTGAAATCAGTTTGTCAGCCACTTTTTCCAGCATGCATCAGGCTGGCTGAAAAGAGTGGCTTTGAGGCATGGAAGGGCAATCCAGATTTCTTGTAGCTATCCTCTTCCTGCTTTTTGTAAAGCTGTGACTTTGAGATTAGCATTGATGATTAGGAAGCAGAAACAAATCGGCAAAAGGTGGAAGGAGGGAAGGGAAACAGCCATAACGTGAGGAGGAGAGTTACTATCAAGTGAAACTAGCCTAGGTGCTTGTTTTTCCAACAGTCTCTTTCTTCCTCTCAAGTTTTAAGCCATTTGCTTAAGGTATATTTAATTTACTAATTTAATCTTACTGTAATAAGTAGAATATGGTGTGTTCCGGTTTTAGGTAGTCGTCGAAGTGAATTCTCGACCTCGTTACCACAGAATGTTCCTCAGTTGCCTAATACCAGTAAGACCGACTCCCTTTCTTCAGAAGAACTACGAAGGAGAAGACAAGTATATTTTGAAAAGTAAAGTAGTTGATAGAAAACATCATGTTTTTCAGTGCTTCTGGGGTGGGGGATGGGTTTCTGACTGAGGTCCAGCTTAACATGTTTTCCTAGCAGTACCTGAATTTTGCTGCTCCCAGGTGGTTCCTATGAAGAAACCTGTAAATAAGGGTAGGTCTGTTAATAAAGCAACATCAGTCTTATGAAGAAAGAAAACATACATATTATAGAAGTATTTTAAATTGAATCTTATAATTTTCTGTAATTATCTTCCTGAAGAAAAGTATTCTTTAAGACTTCTGATAATGATGCCTCTAATGTGCATCAAAGGAAAGCAGTCTAGATGCTGTTCTGGAATACCTTCTTAATACATAGTTGGGATATTGTTGTAGCTTTTCCTTATCTCTGTCTCCTAGTGTTGGAGGAAATAAAGACCAGGGAGAAAAGCTATGGATGGGAAGAGTTAAAATTTGCATGAGAGGATAAGGATGCAAAACATCCATATTCTGGGAAAATGGTAGTGTGTCTTGGAGTGTAATACTGGCAAGATAGTTGTCTCAAGGCTTGCAGGGTGAAACAATTGAAAAGATTTTAGGAGCAGGGGTGTTACTGTACCAAACAGCTTCTACATCTCACTCTTGGCCTTCACTACAATGAAACAGATGTGATACTGGTCTCATACTGATGTTAATGTTATTCTCTTCTAAATCTATAACACCTTCAGGCAGCAACAACAGCTACAGCAGCAAGATCGGACCCCAAACCTACGTGAGAAGCCAACTCTAGGCTCAAGCACTCCAGAAGCTGACCCAGGTATTGCTTTTTGAACTTCCTTCCAACACTGAAATACCCATGTCTTTTTTACATTGTGTTGTGCTCTGTCTCCTGACTCCCCTTGTCTGCCTACTTCCTCACTCCAGCAGCCACTCAGACCATGTGTCGCTGCCATTGTTTTTTTGGAGTGAAAGGCAGGATCCGTTTCCTGAAAGCCTGTTCTGCTTTGAACATCAACACCCTGATTCAAAGTGAAGAGCGTTGCTATTAGACCCTTTCAGTTCTGGCTTGCTTTTTCTTGTTTTCTTTGACTTGAGCATTGCAAATTGTAATCTTTGATGGGATTTGTGCCAACAGTTTGTTTTGTAAATGGCTTTTAAAGTTGTGATATGTAGCAAAATTATCAGGACCAGTTCTCAGTAGAACGTAAGTATTAGATGTTGGTTATCCAAAATTAAGGACACAAAATTACCATTGTGGATGGAAAGCTAAGTACACAGTGGTCAGTGATTTTAAAGAGCAAACCAAAACTCACTTTGGAGGAGGGATGGAAACAAGTGGATGTGAACAAAAGTAACAATGAATGTATTTAACTGCAGTTGAGAAGTAGCTCTGTGTATTTATAACAACTTATATGCATTTATTTTCATTAGGAGGTGATATGAGTGAAGAAGACATGCTTCAAGCAGCCATGAATATGTCTCTGGAATCTGTTAGAAACCACTTGAATACAGAAGAGGAGAAATGACAGAACTTCTTTTTCTCCTCATATTGTCAAAACACTAAGTCTCCATTAAAATTTTACTGTGTGGATGTTGCACAAGCAGGGTTCATTTCAGAGTTCTGGAGGCGGCAATGAAAGAGGGGCTGGAGGTCAGGTTTTAGAGGGAATCTGCAAATACGGAAAACGTTGCACTAATTTAGAAAACTGTAGCACTCCTACTACAGAACATCTGTTCACAAGAGTAGCTGTATTAAAATGACTTAAACTATTCATGTGAACGAAGTTAGACATGTGTAGCCACTGTCACTTGCATTTAAAAAGCAAGTTTAACTTGTTTTGAAGAATTCTATAGAAAATACAAAAGGGCTGAAAACCAGCATCAACTGATTTCCTTCAGTACTAATGGAAAATAGATAAAAGTAATAAGTTGTGCTCCTAAATGACTAAGTTCCTTATTAAAAAATCACTTAAAATGGGAAAAAGAATGTTCTGTTTATCTTAGAAAATTTATTTTATGATTGTTTATTCTGAATGACTTAATGTCAGCTGTTGATCCTGCTGTCCACTTTTGATATTACCTGTTCTGCAGGAGAAACATGTGTTATCCATGAATTTCATAGTTTCCAATTCAAGAGAAAATCTTGAGTGTATTGTTGGTTATGATGTTACTCCTGAACTTTCCAGTGACTTCTCACCTTCTAACACTTCCTTGGTTTATGTTCAGTTCCAAATGTAAAATTTTCAAATTCTTGTTCAAAGTAGGATTTCTGCATTGGCCTATTGCCTTTTGGCAGAAAATCTGCCGCCTTTGGTTTGGATTTTTTTGTTTGGCTGGTTGTTTTTATAAATTTGTTTTTATTTTCTTAAGCTCTTTCTAGTTATGCCAATGTCTTTACTATAAAAGTAGCATATAGTCAGTTGAGGTAAACAGGTTTTCTTTTCTACCTCTTCTGGAATCTTTTTTCCTCTTTAAGCTCAACCCTTTATTCTGGCCTTTCAGTGTGAAAGAGCTGTAACTGAGTCTAGGAGAACGGAGGAGGGGATTTAGGTGCCATAAAGTCAGTGCCACACACAT